AGACAATTGTAGAGTGTAATAGGTAGAAATTATATTTTATATACTACTGGATATTATGACGATTGTAAATCAGTGGATAAAACTAAAAAAAAAAGTGCCAGAGCACTCAGAATACACAGGAAATATCCCTTCAAAGATAGCTAATGACTTTCTAGTACGGTTATTGATGACTATATCCACAGGAAAGTGCTCCATGTAAAGTTTCAGAATTTTTTTTTGTATTTGTTAATGTTGTTCATATCATTGATTGTTGGCAGTAATGTGAAACAAATTAATGATTACTCTCGTCATGAAACAAATATTTTCATAGCCTTTGTTGAACAACATAAACATTAGTTGTCGGCAGTTTTTATTTCACTAAGTATTAAAAACTGAGAACTTGTGGATCCTACCATGTCCCTCAAAATTCTGGCCTAAATTGTCTGTACCCTTCTTCCGAGATAAGTTCTCCTCGACCCGCAGCTGCTGTCATCATAATAAAATGTCTAAAGGACAAAAATATTTGACTTGCAACAAAATGACATTGCTACTAGATAATAGTTTTCTAATGTTTGTAATATGTGCTTGCAACGTCAAATAGTTGTTGTTTTTTTTCTTCTTTACACACTAATTAGTTTACGTGTGCGTTCAATGAATGATAAATATCGGGGGCGCATCTTAAAGCAGAGCCTCCTAACTCACTTCCCATGCGGCCATAAAGGTGCTTTTAAAATTGTATGTAGATCATAAATAGCACGATGAATACATAGGGGCGTGTGGAAGTGACAAGAGGGACTCTAAGGATCTATGCCAAGTATGGTTGAGACTAGTCAAAACTATAGGCATTAAAGGCAAACATGCAGTGACCCCAGAGTGATACAGGGGTCGGATCCAAACCTATGATTTTCCCAGGTGTTTTAGTGATGCTTGCCTAGTATGGGCAAAGAACTAGAGAAAGCCCTCCACCCCAGAGAGCGATATGGGAGCATTAAAAGTGGACACACAGACAACACTTTTGCTTTATATGTATGTATATATGTATGTATGTGTATATATATATATATATAAACACACACACACTAACTGACTGCTTTTCATACGACGGTAAATGCTAATACATTTTTCTTTTGAAAATAAATCTAAATAAATGTTTTCTAAAAGTTAACTATAGCAACAATACGTGTAAATAACATTTTTTGTTTATATTTGGTCATTTCCTGTAAGCAGTCTGAATTTATTGAATGAGCCAGTAAGAAAAATTATCCATTTCTTCAGACAGAACGTCTTAAGACTCCCAAACCACTATTCACCCTACTGGCTTTTTAAACACATTTTGTCTAAACTATTTATACATCAAATTGCTTGTGGGTCCATGACTATTGGTTACAAGGTTTCTATTATATACACAAGAAATATATAAAAATACTATCAGTATTGCAATTAAATATACCATTTACTTCCGGGGATCCTCTATACATTTATATGGAGAATTAATAATTTCACTCATTTTTTTATCAATTCTTAATATTGAATTGTTAAAAAACAAATAACTTATAATTTTTAGTCAGTTCTATACTATATAAAATCGGCAGTTTGAGGTTTTACACTGTTTACTTGTTTAAAAAAAGACAGTAAACTGTAAAAACATTTAAAGAGTAATCGAAATCTATAATATCATAGTCATGAAAAGTAAAAAAATATATACTGTAAAAACATTAAAAGAATAATTGAAATTTATAATATAGTCATGAAACAGTAAAAAAATACTATACTATAAAAACATTTAAAATTAATCGAATTTTATAATATTATAATCATGAAAAAGTAAAAAAAAAATCTGCTCTAACGGCAATCCTTTTTCATTTTATTGTTATGTGTAATTCCTGTATATGATGATTATTTTGGCTAGAGTTTCTTAGCTCATATTCTACTACACATTTGAAGACTATTAGCTTAGCTGACGAAATTTCGTATTAAGAGTTAATTAAGGGAGTGCTATTACACTTTAACAATATTTATTTGTTTTCGGTTTATTATAGCAAGTCTGTGTTAATGTTAGGTAATTCTTATCAATCTGTAGTTTTGAATCATTATAATTTATACTGTTTTATCGCTAAATAAAATAAGTTGTTGTTTTTTGACCAGATGGCTCTCAGTGCGTCTTCTCCCGTGTATCGTGGTTATTTGTCAGATACAGACTGTAAGTGGTGCACAATTGTAAACTCTGTAGATGACAGAACAGACGAAGAACGAGGAGTAAAGGCTAGTTGATAATTTGACGTATTGATGTGTGTGTTTTTAAAACATATTTATTTGATAATATATTGAATAATTATATAATTTTTAAACTAAGAAAAAAGTTATTTAATTAGTTAGGAAAACGACTCGTTTTAAAGTTTATGTTAACCATTAGAACCTTTTTGAAAGATGCATAGGGCGTTTACTGTTTTCATCATTTATAAATATCAACATGCTTAGGCATGAATTAATTTATGTTTTATTTTTTTTAAGTACACAGGTTGCGTGTAAACGACTGTACTGACGTAGATGTAAAATAAATTTGGATAAATAAGAATATTATATATAACGAATCATACACGCCGATTGTGGAGGAGTAAAGGGGAACTACTGTCGCAGACTCATCCCAAAGCAAAAAAAATAATAATAATAGGGATATTCTATTGTTCATTTACCTTTGAATATTCGATTTTTTAAAGAATCGCCCTTTTAGAGAAATGCGGAGTTGCTCCACTAGATGGTCCTGTTAAAGTCACTGAGATAGCAAACAACGTTCTCTTTATTAAAATATGTAATTAGGATGGTGTAACATATAATCAGTACAGTAAAAATGAAAATTAAATATGTACTAATTACCTTTAAAAGTTAAATGATCAAAAGTGTTTTACATGGTACAAGTATTATTAAAATAAACATTTAGAAACATATATATAGTTTTATATTTTGATTACTAAAGTCTGTCATTATCAAGTTCAAAGTTCAAGACAACCTGTGGAGTTCTTTTAGAAATAAGTGTAATGTATCATCAGTGTAGCACCAATTTCCATTGTTCACTCTAATAAAGGCCATAGTATGGGGCAGAAATGATCCATTTAGAAATACCCTTTTCAAAAATACGATTTTGTTTACAGAACGATCCATCAAATTCTTCAGTAATTATAATATAGAAAATTATGAATCAACTTGCGGCAAATTTTTAAGTTTCGTTGTAAATGTATTTTTAGATTTATTCATGCATTTTAATGAAGAAATAATATTTTTTTTGTTGATATTTTATAATACATAACGTGTTACCTATTGTTTTTCCTCGAGCTTCGGAAGTGGTGTTAAGCATACGCAGCCATAAGTGCATTTTTTTAAAAAGAAGAATAACAGACGATCAAAGCAATAACCCAGTAACGACTCTCAGGAATTTTCTGAAAAAAAAGAAAGATAGGTCAATTTTAATAAGGTGTACACCACGGATTACCGAAAACTGCCATTTATGCTTAAGTAATAAAATCAACTGGTGTCAATACATGGAACACCTTTAATAGTCGTCTACACTGACAGTTGACAGATAAAATATGCAAACCTTTGACCGAGACGCAGTGTCACGTGGTAATATATTTCCCGATAATTGTTTACACCGGTAATTCATAGGAGTCAATAATATAGATATTGTAAGCCGAGCCAAACAGAATACACAAACTGCTGCAGTTTTAATCTATCTAAGTAAAATTTGCGTTAGTCAATTCGTGCGTGTTCGTTCACCTGGAAACCAAATATTGGCTAATTCTACAGCAGTACTTTTACGTTGATACGAGTGCAAAACTACGACGTTTATAACATAATAACATTAACTTTAAAGACAATTACTTCAGTAACACAAGAAAACACATTAAGGTAATTCTTTACTTTTCCGTGGCTTATAAGTAACGCAATACCATTACATCTTAATATAAATTCCAAAAGACGCCTAAAGCTTGACAATTAAGCCTAAAGCTTAAATACGCGAAGCACAAGTTTAACCGCTGTATAATCAACGCCATTTTACTGCACTAAGCGTTTAATAATCAATGCCATAACGTAACGTCACTAATTTTCGATGCAAAAGGAATAAAAACAACAACAAAATATAAACATGATAACAATTAGTTTTTTCATTTTTTGATGCCATATTTTTAAAAATTAGCCATTTTATAACTATTACACGTTTTCAATTATCTCAGTACATCTGCCTAACAATCTACAATTAGGCCTAAAGTTATTGGTGGAAATGGACCTGCTAATACTTTAGGGGAGAATATAAGAATTGATACCGTTATGGAAGGAAAAATAAAAAATAAGTGAAATCGCAACAAACGAAGACAAAATTTCATTTTTGAACTTCTGGATATCATAATTTTAAAAATTCAACATTTTATAATGTTGTTTTATCAAGAGTTCGATCGAGAAAAAATCTAAAGATCAAAGATAGCGATTGTCTAGAAAGGCGAGATGTATATACAAAAAAATGTTTGTACAAAGATATATTTCGTTTACAGCCATTTCACGTTTTTACACTTCTTTACTTTAAACCTAAATACCACTCCATATTCTGCTTAGTGGGTTTTTTGTTCCATCCATGTCCAACTACATAATACAACAACAGCATTGTTTAAAGTATTTATTTGTTTAAAACATATACCCTTCTCGTATATATATAGTATTTAACGTAATAATGCTGCACATGTAAAAAAAAAAAATTGTGCTTTGGTTCATATGGCATGGCATACGCTTTTATTTTTTACTAAACAGTGTTTCAGTAATCAAATCATTTTAATAGATACATCGTACTTGAAACACGAGTCTATCCCCTAGTATTTTATTACAATATTTACATATTAAAAGTATAGACGTTATTGGTTAGAGATGTTTATCATTTTGAAGCTATTAATAATATTATAAATGGGTTCGGATCCCCGTCACACCAAACATGCT